CCAGGAAATAACTAATTATTTGCTTTTTTAATAATCGTGTCGATCCTGACATTTTTTGATTGGGAAACAGGCAATAAGTATGTTTTAAGTATACAAATTTTCTTATTACTGCAAAAAATAAGGATGTTTTGATGATATAATAAATAAGTATATTCGACCAATTTTTGTGAAAAATTAATAATCATCATTTTATGAAATGTACTTAAAATATACCCTAAAACGTACTTCACTAAAAAAAATAAGGATAAAATAAGTATCTAAACTTTGCATAGGGAATGAGAAAAGATCGTTCAGTGCAAAGTATGAAGGGTATACATTTATGGAGGATTCATTGTATGTAAACTAGCTTAGTTTTACAAGCTTTTGAATGAATTTAATTGGGTAGAATTAAGAGTGAACATACAATTTTTTATTTACAAATATTATTTTGAGACTTAATCATACTAAAATGGACAGGTCAACAAATATAATAAATATTTCTATCAAAAATATTTGGATGTTAATATATACACTAATTGTTTGTCTGATTTACAGTTATTCCTTTGTTCTCTCAAACAAAACAATTGTTGATAACAAAAAAAAATTATTTAGAACCCTAAAATTCATTGCTAATAAAGTCATATCCTCTCAACCAAATTTATTTTTAAAAAAGTGATTTCATTCACTATCTATCTTTATAGAAAACATATGTATTTTAAAATATTATTCCTTTACTGTTCTTGTTCTAGAAGTCCTTCCTACAGTACATATTGAATATGGCATACAATTTCCTGAGTCTCTTTGATTGCGGTATAACCTAGCTTTTTCAAAAGTAACTATATTTCTAATTTTTTCAGCAACACTAATTGTTTTCTGTAAATGGGATATGTTGTGATAAGCAAAAAGGTAATATCACATTATCAAAAATATGTGTATTTAAACCAACCTCAACCCTCAACAACAAAGTGATGGTCTTTTCAATCATTGGCAATTGGTTGATAATTTGTGGTAATTTTGTTTCTTGAAGTAGTCCAAACCGCCAAAGGTTCTTGGCTTTCCAGTCAATTCCATAAACATTGTATTTGTATCCTAGCAGATTCAAAAAAAGTTAGTTTTCTGCCTTAGAGACAGCTTCTCTGCAATCTTTTTATGTCTTACCATAACTATGCATTCCCAGAGTAAAAATTTTCCTAAAATTCTCTGTATCAACTCCATTGTTTTCAAGTCCTTCTTTTAGTAAAACATCTCTCATTGCAACAGCAAGGTCAATCTTATCCCCCCATTTTTTTGATTTGGCTGCCTCAGGTAGCCCTCCAGACCTCAGTCCAATTACATATTCAAAACCACCCTTATGAACACGACAGTCACATTTTTGACCTATGATGCTTCTTCTAGTGGGGTCCTGATCCAAATTTTTTATTAATGTTGATGCTAAGCTTTGTGTCTCACCTCTAAAAATAATAAAAAATTTAGTTGATGAATGACTCAAAAATATAACACATATCAAAGGTTAG